TGTATGAAATAATTAAAACAAAAAAATTAAATTAAAAAAATTTCAAAAATAAAATTTCAGCATCCCCTTCATACATACCCTTATATGTTATTTATTTTAGCATATTAAAACATGTTAAAAATTGCTACACAATTACAATTATGTTTCAACACCATAAATGTGTCTCTTCAGGCGATGTTTAAATAGAAATGGGTTGGATGGCGACTAACCATGACAAACCCCTCTTCACAAACCATGTCACATTGTTACTTGGTTTAATTTTGCCAAAACGTTCTTTTTGGACGTTACTTGTTCTTTTTGGGAACAAGTACTATGGAGTGATGAAACAAAAATTGACCTTTTTGTGCATAATGATGTACAGAATATTTGGCACAAGAAAGGTGAGGCTTTGCTCCAAAAAAAACACAGTGGCAACATTAAAACATGGAGGGTACTTGATGATGTTTTGCAGTTGTTTTAGTTCAAGAGTGACTGGACAATTAATTGCAGTAAGAGGAATAATGAAATCTGCAGACTATGTCCAAATGCTGGATGAAAATCTATAATTGTCAGTGTAAAATCTTCATCTAGGTTGGTGATTTACTTTCCAGCAAGATAATGATCCAAAATATATAACTAAATTAGTGACTGCATGGCTTCAGAAAAAGAACATTACAGATCTACCATGGCTTTCAATGAGTTCTAAATTGAATCCTATTGAAAATCTATGGCAAGTATTGAAAGTTTGAATAAATCAGTCACCAAAAAACCTTAGGACTTAGAACATATAAACCACTGATGAATGGAAGAAAAACAAAGAAAAGACTTGTTCAAATCTCACCAAACACTTTAGAAAATGATTGCAGCAAAATGAGAAGCCATGCTATTGACTACTAATATTTTTCTTTCTTTTGTAATTTTTCATATTGTACAAATAATTTTATCTTATCCTATTTTACATAATTCACCAACCAAATTTCCTGTATTTAACTTATTGTTCTGAAAATTGATTTTTACATTCCTTTTTTTTTTTGTGCTTATTAACATATAAAAAACTCGGCATCATATGGGCATTAGATTCCGAGAAATGGATAAACGTATTCAAAACTGATGGGTGTATGAATAATTTTGTTCTTAACTGTATATGTATGCACCCTCCACATATATGTATATTATCACTTTAAATATTTTTAATGAATATCCATATTTGAGTAGACGCTCTGTTTATTTATTAAACAGTATATTTATTTATTTTTGTCAAGTATTGGTATCCACCAAAAAATGTCTAAAGTGATAAAATCTGTCAGATTAATAAATAAAAAGCCATTACTTTTTATATATATATATATATATATATATATATATATATATATATATATATATATATATATGGGTGTGTGTGTGTATGTGTGTATAAAATGGTGCCTCCTTTCGCTGTCCACTACTGAGTTTTATGCTGATGTTCATCCACAATCCTCAGATGACCAACATTGGTTGCAGTTGTGCCAGCTTCAAATGTCCACCATTCACGTGAGTTTGGTCAATACATTGACTCACCAGGATTTGATATTTTGGGTTTCCTCTGTTGGGTATTGGGATTCAAACAACCATAAGCAATGTCAGCTGTCTAAAGACCATGTATAGGCTAAGTTATGGTCGGCCAAATGAGACACCTTTTTACCAAGAATATTTACTCTCCCATAAAGCATCGAGCAGATTTCTATTCTTCAGTAGGTAATTTACTTATAAAATATATACATTTATATAGAGTGTTCTGCAAAAGTAATGCCATTTTTTTTTTTTTAGCTAAGGTAGATAGGATGACATGGAATAATTTAGTGGCCTTCTGATGTAATGAGTATGCATACACCTGGGTTCTCCCTCGCAGTAATATGATTGGATGGTATCAGCTATAAATACAGACTGGATGTGGAGGTACAGGAAGACACCTATTGGTTATGCCTATAGTCTTTGCCTATTGCCTACACCCATTTCCTACCACTACGACGAGGACCAGTCGATTACGGTTACCTGCTAGGTTGTCCTACTCGGTTACAGTAGTCCAAAACAACTTTGCTACTTCAAACAAATATATCCCTTTCCAGGACATATCACCTGACGTGATACCATCAGGCTTGTGGGTCTATTGAAAGATCTTGTTTATATGCTCAAACTGAAAACAATTCCTGAATTAAAACAAGCAATTTCTGAAATTAATGTTGAAATGTGTGAAATGGTTTGTAGAAGTGTTCCAGATATGGTTCAATGTTGTATTGAACATTAAGGGGAGAATTTTGAACATGTTGTTTTGATGTGGCAATACTTACAATTTTCTTACACTATTGTAATTTATTTTTGTTCAATAAAATTTAATAAATAAAAAAGAGGCATTACTTTTGCTGCTCCATATCTATCTATCTATCTATCTATCTATCTATCTATCTATCTATCTATCTATATATATATATATATATATGCATATGAATATATGGATATATTTTTACTCCAAGCAAGGCAGTAAAGCCACTAAGACACAAAGTGTTACTGGACATGGAAGAATTAGGAATAGAAACATTAATAATGAGCAGGGAGAAAAAAGAGTAATCAGTAGGATAGGGCATTTGCTTAAATGCAGGTTTCCATTAAAAATAATGTTTGTAGTAATGTACACACACACACACACACACATATATATATAATTTGTAGGTCTGATGTATTGGATCATGATTACGATTACAATGTAATAAATTTTAACCATGGAATATTAGTGTTTGAGCCTTTTACATTATGTACTTGCTCTGTCCTGGACACTGAGTTCTACCTGGATTCTACCCTTGGGAATATTATCTATATCTATATATTGACCACTAATATTCTCAATATGTGTGTATATATATATATATATATATATATATATATATATATATAGGAAAAAGTAATATGAGATATGGAGAAAAGAGTAGAAATAAATTCTGTTTTTTTTACTTTTGTGTTGCTTGATTTTCATTGGTTAATCATGTTTCTCCTGCATTCAACGTCTGTCCATATTTCTGAGATGAGGTATTATGTACACTATTTACATTATTCGGACTATTGTCCTCATCTTTGTCGCCATATTTATTACAACGTTTCAGCCGTTGTATGCTCCGGACTTCTTTAGGTGGTTGGAATGTTGAACTTAACCCTTTATTTTGCTCACTGGGGTAGACTATTCTAGTTCAAAGTGCCATGTTTAATGAATGTCAGTTATCAGTTATCTCCTGCTAATTTCCCTCTGAAAGTTCTGCACTGCCTTAACCGGGTATTGAATTCACACTCTTTGGGCCTTGTTATTGGATCTAACTAATGTCTTTGTCCACTGTGCCATGTGTCCTTGAGGACATCTGTGTATGAATTTCTGGGTATTATAAATAAAGGGTTCAGTTCGACATTCCAACCACCTGAAGAAGTCCGGAGCATACAACGGCCAAAACGTTGTAATAAATGACAACAAAGATGAGGACAATAGTCTGAATAATGTAAATAGTATTCATTCAACTTGTTAAGCAAATGCTAATATTATCTTTGGCATTGATCATTATGTTGTTAATTTGATTATTAGTTTCGCATCATGATCATCTCCATGTCCATAAATGTCTTGGGTGTTCTTGAAACCAGGTGTTGGCCATTACCTTATCTTTCACCATGTAACATTGAACCTATTTTTATTCCCTAGTCTTAATTAGCCAATTATTTAACCATCTCATTATTCTATGATGATTGTTATTTTCTTGCAATTTGCATTGTCTAGTATACAGTAAAACTCTTCTTCAATTTCTACATCCAAGTCTGTGTTGTTGGTGCATATATACCTACAATGGCTATATTAAATGGTTGTATTAAATATCTTCCCTTTCATTTTAAAACAAATAACTCTGTCATATTGTAAGTAGTATCCTTGAACAAATTTTTCCATATCTTAAAAACTTGATGTCACATATACAAGTCAGTGTAATATTTCTTTAGTCTTTAGTTTAAAAAAATTATTACTACCTGAATTTTGGGGTGAGGAGTTATCATTGTTTACACCATTTTCATGCAGACTTTTATCTACATCATTGTTGTTTTTATCACAAAATTTCGACAAAATATTGTAATTACAACAACAAAGATGAGGACAATAAATAAAATAAATATTAATATCCCTTCATTAATTTATCTCCATTAGATCCATATCTGGCAAAGGCTTTTTTTTTTTATAAAATGCATAATTTTGCATCAACCTGTGAATTTCTGCTGTAAAGAAAAATGAAAGATCTCATCTCAATATATTTTTGTAGTATTTGTTTAATATTGTTAAAAGTAGCACTGACAAAGTAAAATTATCCACTGCTCTGCTTAAAAGACCGGAAAGAAGAATTAAATCAATGGCACCTGGCAGGAAAAAAAATCTAAAATAAAGTTTGATAGATGCTATGAAAAAAAAGTGTTATCAAAGAAAAGCCATTTATTTTGTTAAAGGAAGTGAATCCCTGAAATCCTGGAGCTTAAGCAAAACCTTAATTAAGAAGAAATAAAAATCAAAAGCATGGATTGAAATACAGGCTTTGTTTCTCTGATTTGAATGCCTGAATAGAAGTAAATTAAGTTTTATTTAGAATTTATCTTGTAAGGTTTACTTGTGAGAATATTATTTAAAGTTCTTTTAATTTTAAGTCAAGTAGGATTTGAAAGAAAAGCTGAATGAAAGAGATAAGAAAAAAAGATAAAAAAATAGAGGGGAAAGTGAAAAGAGAAATGAAAGGGAGGAATAATGAGGAGGAGGAATGAGATATTTTTAAAAATTCATTTTTGATTTTATATAATCACAGATTAAGGATTAATTAAAGAAAAAGACTGAGAGAGAATGAGTTGGGAGAAGGCAAGAGAAAATTAATGATGGATTAAAAAAGAAAGGGATAGAAAGAGTTATAGAAAAAGAAAGAAAGGAAAGTAAAAGGGAAAAGAAAAAGGATATTAAAAGAGAGAGAAAGGGAGAAGAATCAGTAGACAGTGTAGATGATAGAAAAAGAGAGAGAGAGATAGAAAGATGAAATTAGAGATAGAAAAGAGTGAAAAGAGAAAGAAATAGTGTCAGAAAGAATAGAAGATAAAAAGAAAAAAGATATGACAAGAAAGAGTAACAGGGGAAAATGTGAATGGAATAGAGAGTGAAAAAAAATTCCAAAGAAAAAAAGGCTTCTGAGCATAAGAAAGGAAAAAGCAAGATATTTTTGAGCTGAAGAAAGAAAGTTAAAAAAAACAATGGAAAGTGAAAGGAAATGAAAAAAAGAAGGTTAAAAAGAAAGAAAGAGAAGGGAAATGTCAAAAAGAAAGAAAGAGAAGAGGAAACAAAAAGATCACAATTGACACTGAATTTAAATTTTTCAAGATTGTAACTGACAAAGTAGGAAGAAATCAAAGGGAGTTCCACAAGCGTGAAGTGCGAGAAAAAAACTATTAGAATAGAAGTGACAGTTGCATTTAGCTATTTAAAGAGTAAAATGATGAGATCTGGTTGCTAATTTAGTAGCATGCTTAAATTCATGCAGCTGCAGCACCAAGGAAAACAAAATCTCAGAAGAGTTTCCATGCAAATATTTGTAGAAAAGACAGGTTACTAACAAAAGCTAGAGACCTCAGTCTGGCCTGCTATTAATCTCTAGCTGCAAGAAGGAAAGGGATTCATGCCTATCCAAAGATATACTTGTTTGAAAGCAAATGCAATAGTCCTGGTTGAAATTTGAGCCTGACATCCCACTTTCTATGCTAATAATCACCACACATGCATCCATTTAAAGGAATCTCAAGGAAAAGGAATATTGAAGACAGATATTAAAAAGAAAATAGAGAGGCAAAATGAAGAACTCAAAAAGAAATGAGTGTTTGTCGTTTGCAGTAAAGGGAACAAATAAAAAGTAAAAGGTAGGCTGAGAAAAGAAATGAAGAAAAGACGAGAAAAAGAAGAGTAAAAAATAATAAAATCGGTAAAAGAGACAAAGAATATATGAATAAAAAGAGAATGAATACTGTATAAAGAATAATGGCAAGTGAAAGAGAATAGAATCTTTGATTAGTATAATGTGGAAAATGTAAATGGTAAGCAGAGTTCAAATTCTGCCTTAGTCTTTTGCTTTCACCTTTGCATTAATACCCATGAGAAAGGCAAGAATCCATCTTTTCTTACTTCACATCTAGGTTAAATAAGTAGGACAGCCTTGGATGGTAACCATTCTAGGAGAAGGATTATCTTGGGTTCAAATCTAAGAAGTTAATGGGAAACCAATCCATATTCATTCTCAACATAACATGTCAGTTTATAGATAATAAAGAAAAACTGAGAGACACAATCACTTGAGTATTAAATGTATATCGCATTTAAAAAAAAATGGAATAAAAATAAATGAGAAAGAACAAAAAATGATATTCATTGAGAAGTGGAGAGAAGTTTGGGGGAATGAGAAGAGAAATGACAGCAAAATGTGACGGGATCAACATGGAACAAAAGAGGAAAAGGTGTTAAAAATAATACTAAACAATACAAATAGATTAGTAGAAAATTTAACTAGACACAGGATTTGTTAAAAATGAAACTGAGGAAGAGAATGAAAGAGAATAAGGAGAAATAAAGAAGCAGATTAAAAAGGTTTTATTTCACAATAAGTAAAAAGTAAGAGAAAAAGAAAAAGGAAAGCAAAAAAGGAGTGAAAAAAGAAAGTAACAGGAGTGAAAAGAGGAAAGTAATAGGGAGTAATAGGAGTAAAAGTAATAGGAGTGAAAAGAACAAAAATAATTGTGAGTAATAAGAGTGATAGTAAGAAGAGTGAAAAGATGGATATAATTGTGAGTAATCAGAGTGAAAGTAAGAGGAGTGAAAAGAAGAAAATAGTGAGTAATAAGAGTGAAAGTAAGAGGAATGAAAAGAACAAAAATAATAGTGAGTAATAAGAGGGAAAGTAAGAGGAGTGAAAAGAAGAAAATAATAGTGAGTAATAAGAGTGAAAGTAAGAGGGATGAAAAGAACAAAAATAATAGTGAGTAATAAGAGGGAAAGTAAGAGGAGTGAAAAGAAGAAAATAATAGTGAGTAATAAGAGTGAAAGTAAGAGGAATGAAAAGAACAAAAATAATAGTGAGTAAGAGGGAAAGTAAGAGGAACAAAAGAAGAAAATAATAGTGAGTAATAAGAGGAAAGTAAGAGGAATGAAAAGAACAAAAATAATAGTGAGTAATAAGAGGAAAAGTAAGAGGAGGAAAAGAAGAAAATAATAGTGAGTAATAAGAGTGAAAGTAAGAGGAATGAAAAGAACAAAAAATAATAGTGAGTAAAGAGTGAAAGTAAGAAGAGTGAAAAGAAGAAAATAATAGTGAGTAATAAGAGGAAAAGTAAGAGGAATGAAAAGAACAAAAATAATAGTGAGTAATAAGAGTGAAAGTAAGAGGAGAAAAAAAGAAAAATAATAGTGAGTAATAAGAGTGAAAAAGTAAGAGGAGGAAAAGAAAAAATAATAGTGAGTAATAAGAGTGAAAGTAAGAGGAATGAAAAAGAAGAAAATAATAGTGAGTAATAAGAGTGAAAGTAAGAGGAGTGAAAAGAAGAAAATAATAGTGAGTAATAAGAGTGAAAGTAAGAGGAATGAAAAGAACAAAAATAATAGTGAGTAATAAGAGTGAAAGTAAGAGGAGTGAAAAGAAGAAAATAATAGTGAGTAATAAGAGTGAAAGTAAGAGGAGTGAAAAGAAGAAAATAATAAAGTTATGCAAACTCTGAATGAAAGAATAATAATAAGAAATAGAAAAGAAATTTACATATAAAACTAAGGGAAAGTGAGTCTAAAGAAAGAATGAAAGAAAGAATATTTTTTAAATCACTTGGTAAGTAAGGTTTCTGTTAAATGTTTTTCACATATCTGAGAAGTGATGACAATTGCTATTCAAAGAATTCCTTGAAATGGGCTGAAGATAACAAAAGACAAACATAATTTTCAGTTTAAGAGAATACTTTTGATTTCCTTTTTTAATTTTCTTCCATTTAAAACTAATTGAAAAGATAAAAAGTTGATGCTAAAGCCCCAAAAATGTATGAAAGAATAAATGTATTTTAATAGGGAAACTGTAGGTGACATATATGACAGAGAAAGCAGCAAAAATAAATTTCCTTAAGAAGATGTTCAAGAAAGAAAATTTCTCAGATTTCTATCAGGAGGAGTTGCAGAGCCGGATTATCCCTCATATATGTTCAATTATTCTCCAATTTATAATGCTATCACATCAGTTCATGCATTTTTCTTTCACGTTTAGTGAGAATAATGACAATAGAGATGGCAATTCACTTTCCATGTCTGTAGCATATGTTTTCTCAGACACATTTATAAATATTCACATGAACAGAGACATGGAAACATGCAGAAACACACAAACATGAAACACAAAAGCATAGACATACAAGAATTGGAAAATATGCAGTGTGAATAAAATAATAATAATAATAATAATAATGATTTTTGCCAAATAATAATGAAGTTCCAAGAAGAGATACGTGAATATAATACAAAATCATTTACAATGTTAAATTTTGCATCTTAAATTCAGAATAATCAAAAAAAATATGGGTAGTACCATGTTGTGTGCTAAAAGAACATTCTTTTCCAATTAAATTCTTAAAGTATTTATTCATTATGATTCTTTATTTATATATGGAATTTTTGTATGATGTTTCTAATATCACAAAACACAAATTTGTAAATGCATATTTATACATATATTCAGCATTCCATTGAATACAGTGCTGAAGGCAGTCATAGTTGTCTCCCCCTTGATCTACTCCATGATGAAAGACTTACTTATGGGCTGTAGTCAAATTCCATTGAATAAATGTTCACTCCATGCTTAAACATTTGTTCATGTTTCATTACAGATGCATATTTACACTTATTCACAAACACATACGCATATATAGGGATTTTCCAAGCATAGCTTAGATGCACAAGGCTGAAAATAGGAGGTCCCAGTGAGGATCAAACTGACTACTCAGTTGTAATTATTCTAGTGAGACAAGTTTTCTAACCATTACACCACCTTGAGGTGCCCAACACATAAACACATATACATATGATGAGATTATCCATTTCTGTTAAATGTGTAATCCATTTTATTTGTTGCTCTATTGCAAGACCTCAACTGATATTATTTCTGTTATTTTGTACTGTTCTTTGTTTCGATTCTGTAGCATTAGTCCACAAGGTTGGAAGAAAGTGGGACTTTACTAAGAATACAGGCTACATTGAAATTTAAGTCATTTTTATTTGTTGATCTAAGAAATTTTTCATAGAGAGCTGACAGTTTAGATATTTCTAAAATAGATGCATGACATCCATTTGAGAGCCTATATATATATATATATATATATATATATATATATATATATATATATATATATATATACTAAAATCCCAACAATGTTGTTGTGTGACCAACAGACAACTTACCAAATGACCTAATACCTTAGACAGAAAAAATCACAAACAAGGAAAGAATAAAGAAAAACCAAAGAGCAAGCACCTAATCTATGCAATAAATTAAAGTGGTTAGAGTAATAAAACACTACACAACATCATCACTCAATGAGGGACAGCTGGAGTCACTTCTCAAGTATCACACTCTTGTGATCTTCAGGCGTTCTAGTCTCCTGAAGCTTGCTTACTTGAGTAGCAACTCAATCTGTCCTTCATTTCATATATATATATATATATATATATATATATAAATATAAAATGAACATATAATCAACACTTAGAGGCGACAGTCTGTTTCATCAGACCACGTAGGCCAGACCCGATTGCATATATAGTATGAAACAGACTGTCGCCTAAGTGTTGACTTTATGTTCACTTTTATATTTACACACTCTATCTCTGATATTGAGCACTTCATCCCATAAATATAGCCATAAATATAGCATATATATATAAGATATATATTTATATATATATATATATATATATATATCCTGGTAAGATGAGTACTAATTGAGTATAATTCCAACATTTGTAATATATAATTTAAAAAAAATGGCTCAATACAAAGTAGAGCAATATTATTTGTTCTAGGATATTACATCAAAAACATGTCAAAATCACTACACAATTGCAGTCATGTTTCAATACATATGAAATGCATCTCATCAGGCAATTGTAAATTTCTGGCAAGTGAATTATTTATTTAAAAGCAAAATACAACTTCTTTCATGAAAAAAGAAAAAAGTAGGGTATAAGGTTTGTGGGTTTTACTCAAATCAACCAATCGAATATGACCTACAGTAAATAAATCGTTTACTCACCAGTAATTTACAAATGCCTGATGAAAAGGCTGTCTTCCATTTTTTAAAATTAATTTATTTCCTGTGTTTGGTGTATTTAAACCAGTCTGAAGATGCAGTGTTAATGAACTGCAAAATAAATTTAAGTTTATAACTGAAAAAATTCAAATGTAAGGTTTTTCTTTGAAATTTTTTCTTATATATATATATATATATATATATATATATATATATATATATATATATATATATATATACACACACACACACACACACACACACACACACACATATATATATATATATATATATATCTGTGAATATGTATTTTCTGGAATTTAATCGATCATATGATGCTCCATTTTTGTAGTTGATTAACAAAGCCATTTGCAGAAATCAATGGCTCCATCTTCAGGCAAAAAAATCTTTGGTGCCAAATATTTTCTATGATTTCCTTATAATTGTGCAGCCTTAGTGTTTCATTTTAAGTTCTCAAGAGAGAAGTAATAATTGAAATATTTATTATATGGAAAATCCTAGGTGAATGTTGAAGCCAGTTCTTTAAATCAGGTCGCTATTTCCAGGCTTGTATTTTTATTTTTTAAAACTGTTTTATAATGTAAGAAAATGCAACACAGACAAAAATGCATTTTCCAAGACATGAATTGATTTCTTCTCTTCCAAGCTATAGGCTCAATAGTAGGATAGAATGAACTCTCTAGCCTCAACTACCTGCCAGTCTAGAAGAAGGACTATTATGAATTCAAAACTGGTGAAGACAACAGGAAACTAAGAAATCATAGTTTGCTGTGGAAATCCATAAAGGGACATGGCACTTAAAAAATTCACCCATTATCTTTGGAGGATAGGTTTCAAGAGCTAATAACAGATGCCTGAAAACATGCATAATACTGAATCATATATATATATATATATATATATATATATATATATATATATATATATATATATATATATACACCTTTGTGCTAATTAATTGAAACAAAATGAATAATTCTATTATTATTTACATTTTTCATATTTTTCCAATGAAAAATGACCAAGTACATATATTAGTACTTTGTATGTCCATTTCACAAAGTTGTTCTTTACAGATTGACCACAGATTCTTGATTGAAGTCAAATCAGGAGAGTTTCCGTGCCAGTCTATGGTACTTGATTTGCTTACTGGTAAGGCTGGCCAGTGTGTTCACGCAGCATTACAATTTTTGTATGCTTCCTTGGAGTAATGATGACGTAATATCTTTCAAGGCCAAACAAATTTCATCATACACCCTGAAAATAAATTCAGATTACTGCACACCACACATGACCTAGTCTGAAGAAAAAACAGGAATCAGTTACATCCAGTGGATCTAAAACTGACCGTATGGTGAAAGAAAGGAAACTAAAGTAGTTGTTTCAATTAATTTGCACAAGTGTGTGTGTGTATATATATATATATATATATATATATATATATATATATATATATATATATATATATATATATATATATGTGAAAATCTTGCTTTGTGAAGCCAAACAATGACAGCCATAAAATACACTGTTTAATAAATAGAAATGGGGCATCCATTTCAAATAAGAAGTCTCCACTATAATAATGTCTGAAATAATAAATATATATATGTATATTGCAAGGGTGGGCATTCATTTTGCAACACTTAATTAGACAATAAGAAAAACTCAGTAAAGCTTGTGAAGACGATTGAAGGTAAGTTTCCCTTTGTAAACCATTTTTTTCTTCTTGGGTTGCCTTTGTCAGCACCTGTAACGAAACTTGTTCTATAAATAAAGTCAGCCTGTAAGTTTAAATGTGAACTAACATATCCAATTTGTCCATGCCCTCTCGTCTGTAAAGAAATGATTTATTAAATGCCTTATTTATAAGCAACACTTTTGAACAAAATAATCCTCGCTGAAATGTAATATATTTTTTCATATTTGAGGTTTTTGAAAACATACACAGATAGATAGATAGATAGATAGATAGATAGATAGATATTTAGGTAGAAATCCTGTAGTGTTACTATCATTATTATCATCATCATTATTAGTGGCTGTTGTTGTCAGGTTACTGTGCAACTGTGCATTTGACCAGGTCTCTGCACATGCCTTGGCATCATGCCAATGTCTGAGTCTCTGCCAATGATTTTCAAGTCCACTTATTGACAATGTCACCACATTTTTTCCTCTCTCAGCTTCTTCTTTTAGCTCAGATGATACCACGTAGGATGGTGCTATTAAGATTATTGGTTCTTGTGATGCAGCCACACAATTCCAACTTCATCTTGTTGATGCTGGTCTTCCAGTGGGCCTGTTTCTTGTTTGCTGGTCTCTTACACTATTCAGAAAATGTCAAGGATATTTGTTAGTTCTTTGTGATTTTATTAATCCATGCTACTAAAAAGACACACTAGGTGCATAATAAGTAGGTTATATATGTTTTATTGAACAGAAATAACTTGTGAAAAAAACATTTTTTCTCATAAGATATTTTCAAAATATCAACTTATATGATGTCTGATCAAAAAGTATTTGGACTGATGCTATAAATATAAAACTACAACACATATCAATTTGACATTTAATCTCCTTCAATGTAATCCCCTTCTGAAACTGCAAACTTTATCCAGCATCATTTCCATTGATGGAAACATCCTTTCTTTGGAAAGCAAGCATCTTCCACATTGCATTCTCTTTCCATAATGTCTTGAAATCTTGTTCCTTTTAAATAGAATTTGATTTTTTCGAGGAAAAAGTTACAAGTGGTGACATCTGGGTAATATGGTAGTTGTTGAACCTGAGAAATGTTTTCTTTGGCAAAAAACCCCTGCACAAGCTATTGTCACTGATGGAATCTCTCTGGGGTTTCAATGACCACACTCTACATACTTTCCTTTCAAGCAATGCTAAAAACAATGGAAGTTTGCATGCTTTAGCCCTGTTACCATAGCAACAGATCAGACCTTGTATTCATAAAAATAATTTTGCTTTCTCTTATCGTTTTCAAACTTTTTGATAAACACTTTTATAAAAACAATTGTTCATTTTTTGATAGCATTTAAATGAAATGATATTATTGGCTAAGAAAAATATTAATAATATTTCTAAATGTATTGCACTTGTTTTATTTAGTATTAATTAAAAAAAATTGCTAGATACTGCATTTTGGAAACCACCATTCTGAGAAATATATAATGCATATTTATCACAGTTTTTTTTCTAAAAACTGAAACAAGTCACAAATGAAAAACATTTATATTTATATTTATTTTTTTTATTTTTTTTAAGCAAATAACCCCCAAGGCAAGAGTGCTACTAGCACACAAGGGGTTAAAGAGAGTGAGGGTAAGATTAAACAGGAGTGTTTGGGAAAAGGATAAAGAATATTTCATTTATCCATATTTTTGTTTCTTTACTTTTTATCTTCTCCCAGATGAAAACCAATCAATTTAACTGTGGTCATTTGTTCTTAAGAAAAAACCACTAAAACAAAAATAAAAGCCATAGAAAACTTTATAAGCTTGACCAGATGGTACATGTAGACACATCAATCAGTTATGTGCCATGCGTGATACACACTTAGGTGATCATGTATCTTTCAATACATAATGAGGCAGATATTTTCCCACAGAAGGTTGCCATTTCTTTCTGTGGTAGATCTTTTGCCATCCAAGGCTATAGAACCAGGTCTGTCCTGCTATTTTACCCATAGCTGGGGTGAGAAAAAGAGGATTCATACCTTTCCCAAGGGTATTAGCATGTAAGTGAATGTAATGGATTCAACTGGAATTCAAACACAGCTCTCCACTATCCATTACTCCACCGTGTCTCCAAATGCCAGAAATTTAAAATTTAAATTTAAAGTCATGTGTCTCTGCATCTTCATCATTTTCTATATAACTAGTCTGGGATATTTACATGTATATGATTCCATCAGCAAGAACACTATTTATTCTGAAGAAGTATTCTGACGAAATGTGTAATATATGATTTTTCAAATTTTGTCATTTATATTTATTCTAGTAATACATCCATGACTTTTGTTTAATACTTCAACATTATGTGAGGGGGTACTGAAAAATTCTCTGCTAGAACGTGTAGCAGAAGTAAAAGGCAAGATAAACTGCCAGCTACCTTTGATAAGCTGCCTGTCAATCAAAAAGACAATGCTTTGTGTACTGTGCATGCTGGAGAGGATGGCTGGTGTGAAGCTATGAACATACGCTTGCAAAAATATTGCTTTGATGGTGGGCTGAGCTGTAGCTAAAATTTGGAAAAGATTCATGTCTCACATAGTGAAATTAGCAATATTTCTGGGCTCAATATAATTTCTATTTTGTGAGTCAATGAGTCCTCAGTATTACTATTGTATAGAATGTTGTGATTCTGATTTCCTTTTTGTTCATGCTCACTTTCTGTGTCCTGGTTATGTTCAACCTTTGTTTGCACCATTCTGTATAGAATTCTTCATCACCTCTGCCATGGATGTGCCTTTGTTTTGTTTGTTTTGCTTTGTTTGTCTTCAGTGTTGCTGTTCCTTCCTCATTTATGTTCTGGCAGCAGAAAAACAACCTTCATAACAATTGACCAATCAGAATTTATTTTGGAACAAATTCTTTGTTAGGCTGAAAACTTTTCAGTACCCTACCAGTGATAATTATTTATTTTGGTTAGTAGCCACTAATTTCAACTGTCCAAACCAAAGAAAAAAAAGAAGTTATCTGTACATTATTTATATTATTTGGACTATTTCAGCCATTGTACACTCCGACTTTCTTTAGGTGGTTGGAATGTCAAATTGAACCCTTTATTTCACTCATTGGGGTAGACTGTTCTAGTTCCACGTGTCATGTCTAATGAATGTCAGTTATCAATTAACTCTTGTTAATTTCCCTCTGAAACTTATACACTACCTTAACCAGGTATTGAACTCAGACTCTTTGGGTCCTGTCACTGGATCTAACTAATGTCTTTATCCACTGTGCCATGTGTCCTTGAGGAAGTACATAATACTTCATCTCAGAAATATAGATAGATAGAGAAGTTAACTGGTTAAAAAGTTTTCTTTCTCAAAAGATTTTGCTGTTCATTTTCAAATTTAACATTTTTTTCTGGAATTTTTTAAATGAATGCTTATAATCCATTTTTCTTTATTTTAAGCTATCATTACTTGTTTTCGTTCATTAACATTTTAACCATTTCATTTTCCAAACTTCCTCTAGTAAGTTTTTATCCAGCACTGATAATTTTCTTCCTTAGTTGCCATGCATTATACATGGTCCATCTTTTTACAATTCACGATTGACTTGATAGAATTCATGCAGTAGGCTGCTATTACTTTCTGAAGTAGATTAGTTGCTAACCAAGGCTAAAGGACCCCTAGTCTGTCTTGCTATTTAACGCATAACTTGGAGAAGAAGATTCATGTCTTTATGTAAGTGAGGAAATGAACTTGACTAGAATTTGAAATTGGCTCTCTGATTTCTTATTTCAAGTCATTATCCATTACACCTGCCACACATCCACACTTAAAGCACTTTGTATCTTAAAGCAGTAACGTATCTTGTTACTGATCAGGCTCAATATTACCTAATTTCAGTGATTAGATGAAAACCGGCATTTAAACATGATATCTCATTCAATAACTTTCTAACTTGAGTGGCTCTTAGACCATTTATTGCATGAACAAAAATAAAAAAAAATTGAATCTTTGAGATTCACTAATAAGGAAGATTTTAGGTAACTTCATATAGTCATAGTAATTTTTAGAATTATATGTATAGTTTCATTATGGCAATTAATATTACTTCCTTCTTCCTTTCATTATGGCTTTGTTAATGTTACTTCTTTCTTCCTGTTTTTGTAGCATTATATTAACCACAGTATACTCATTCCATAAAGGATGATATTTCCCATACCTTTATTTGTCTACTTGATATATTCTACATCAAGCATAAAAATGATGGTAACTGGCATTGTCATTGCTTTTAACTAAGATATATAAGAAAACAAAAATACAAGAACAAAGATATTTTTATTGACCAATTGATAATATATATATATATATATATATATATATATATATATATATATATATATATATATATATCGAATTGAAAAGAGCATTAGTTTTCTACACCCTAAAAAAATTGCTGATTATTCTAAGATGCAAATTAGCCCATTTTATAATTCAGGTAAGATTAACCTCAAATCATGTCAGAGAGTTAACCTTTGTAATTGATTAAGTAGGTATTTAACCACACGCCCACTCAAGCGGAATGCAACAATAATTGATTAAGCATATGCAGTGAAGTGAGTTAATAGATATTTTTGGTGTTTAATCAATCCAAGGTCCTTCTTTTATGGAAGAATGAATGGCAGAAATCTGTATTTTCCAACCAGAATTTATAGATTTTACCCAGAAATATTTCTTGGCATTTCAGTCATAAACATTTAATCTTCTTCAATATTTTTTAAACATTTCATCACAAGCAAGGCAATAAAGCCACTAAGATTCAAAGTGTTACTGAGAGTGAAAGAATCAGAGGAAAATCATTATTAAATAGAGAGGACAATAAAAGGGCAAGATTCAGGGAGACAAGATGATTGATATTGCATTTAAATTTTTGAAGATTAAAGTTGACTGAAAAACAAGAAGACAGAAGAGAGTTCCACAAGCAAGAAGTTTGAAAGAGGAAATTGTTAGCATTTCACCATTTCAACTGTTAAATGATTAGACCTAGCTGCAATATTTAGTGGGGACATGTGTTTGAGTAGACATCCCAGGTTTTAAACTGGGAAATATAATATATATTGACTGAGAGATAAAAAATCTTAAAAAAATTTCATATATAGGGTAATTGAACTTGGCTTTGATATGCTGGCTTCCTGTAGCTTAGTAGTAAAACATGCTGAGCTTGAAAATGTTTTCCCAGAATAAATGGAATTCCTGTCAAGATGCACATTTTGTTTAATTTAAATTTCACAGTTTAAAATAAAAATGAAAAAAAAAAACATGTATCTCTACTCA